CCGCAACAGAAATATATTTGCTGTTTCAGTTCTAGTGTTTTTATTCTTGGACATTTTTTTTATTCAGTATAAAGACATTATAAAATTGAGAAAATAATAGCTTGTAAATTTATTATTTTAAAAGCTGTCTGGTACATCTGCATCTATAATTACTATAGCATTTTATAAAGGCCTATACTTTAAAACTTCCACATCTATAGCAGTGCCTGTGGTTAAATTACAGTCAACTTTGAATTTTAGTATGGTGGTGATTGGATTTAAGACCAAAATAGCATTGCTGTCCGCTTTGTCGGCCATCACTGGACTTATCATCGCAGCCAGTTATTTCCGCCGACGCAAGCCCAGGATCAAGAAAGGTAATGGACGCATACCTCATCCAAAAGACCTCAGGTCCAATAGCCGTAAGTATCTTTATTCACTCAAAAACGTATTATTACAGTATATTAATTATTAGTTTTGTTTTAAATTGCATTTATATTTCTAGGAGAGCCATCAAGGCGTGTGTAGTGATATTTTGTGTTGCATTAATTCATACTTTACATTTTTTATCCGCCTGGGGAAAAACATAATAGTATTAGTGTTTTTAGTAGTAACACATATCTTTCAAGTACATATGGAACATTTGTATACTACCAGATACCCACTGAAGAGATACAATTATATAATGTTTTGCCCAAGGACATAAGCATATAGAAAATATGTGATTCATTTCTCCTTGGTAGGCTAAGTTCACATCAGTGTTAATAGTAGGGGTTTTCATAGCCCCTCAGTTGTTGCAAACTTTGGAAGGGGAAGATGATTAATTCCAGGAAGGAAATGATAAATATGAAGACTCAAGAGTAAGTCTAAAGGAAGTAGAGGGCTGATACATTATAATTATGCTACCTAATGTAAGGAGTTAATCATTTTATGTTGGGGAAAAATTATTTTCTGGCAGAAACTAATGAATTAGATTAAAAATTTTTTTTCAAACGTTGTCATTGAAAGAAACAAGGTTGGAGGCGCAATTTATGTCAGTGGTGGCCAGAATGCCAGGAGTGTGTGTTTAAATGGAAGAATTGTTTGTTATGTTTTTTAGCTTTTAAAGTTATATTTAAAAGGTATAATGTATACCTTTGCAGAGCTTTGATTGGTGGCTCACAGAAGGTTTAAAGGTTCTGAATTGTCACAAACTTTACTAAAACAAATTACAAAGGCTATACACTATTACACAAATAAAAAAAAAACCATTTTTTTACTGAATTTTCAGAGCTTACAAGACGGAATCATGGAAAGCAGATCCGTAGCCCAATAATCGGCTCACCAAAATCACCAGCTAGGTCATTGTATGGCCGAAAAACACGGTCCTACCAATCTTCACATTCTAGAACTTCCAGCCTTGCTAGCTCAAGCATTAGTTCAACCATTCCAGCAGTCAATGTTGCTGGCCAATCAACAGAGGGCGCACTTGAGGGCAACGATCAAGTGGACACTAGTCAGATGAATGGTCTTCACAATGGAGAGGTAACGCCCACAAATGAGGTCAGCACTATCCAAAGGCTCTTTCAAATGGGTATGATTTTTATTTTTACCATTGTTGTTAAGTCAGTTTAGAGTTAAATTATTTTTTTAAGTGTTTATCATGGCATCCAGTTTTACATCATATTCTTTGGGACTACAAAGCAAAGACTGGAGGAAGCGTTAACTTTATGTAAAATAACAAAATTGTGTAATCGAAATGAAAATTGAAACACTAAATTAAGGTCTTTCAACTGTAACCATACTTTTTTTCTGACACAATGATCATATAAATTATCCATGACAAATTTGTTTTACATGATATAAATTATTTCACTTCAGTATTATACAAATATATTTTCAAATAATTTATACACCAAAAATAATTATACAGTATCGCAAAACATAGTGTCTAATTTTAGATTAGATGGTGGTGTCTTAAACACTGAGAAATAAAACATGTTATGTGATAAAGCTACTCAATACTTAATGTTTTAAACAAGCGAGCAGTTGCTGGTTGTTACAAGAGCAACTCTAAACCAAAAATGAGTCTCGTTTATAAGTAAATGTTTGATTTCCTTATTTTTCCTGGTGCAATGTTTACAATGTTGGAGAGAGGAGCTTAGCTCAGTCGGCTAATCTGGTGGTAGCCACTGTGTGTGTGCTGAAACGTGGAGATCTCTAGGTCCCCGGTTCAATTCCCATTGCTGCCTCTCCTTCAGTTTCAGCTGAGGGCTGAAATACAAGTTACATAGCGCACTGTCTTTCGGATGAGACGTTTGAGCCGTTGGTCCCGTGTGCATGTATGGCCCATGTGCATGTTAAATAATGCAGTACACTCTTCAGAAAAGAGTAGGGGATTGTCTCCTGGTGTAGTGTCCAATCACCACCAGAAGGACCCCACAGGAAATAAGTCTTCTTCTAGACTTTCATGGGCTATCCTTGGTGTTTACACCCAATAAATCCAATCCAATCCTAGAGTTTATTTGCGTAATGTAGTCTTTGGTTCATAGACATGTAGGTTTTTACCCAGTCCTTGTTTTCCCAACATGACATGACAAACAGCATGCTCTATCCTAATCTAATCATATTTCAGTATTAAAACTTCCTAGGCTAAGCAAGATTTTGATTCTTTTGAATTTAAGCTAAACATGATAGTGCTGACATTTCAAGCTTGGTGCGATAATATTTTTTTTTGCAAAAATGATGCCCATTTTAGGGTTTTTTTCGCTAGTGTGCCACACAAGTGCTGACTTTCAATAAATTGTTAAAAAAAATATGCCAATGGAGACCTAATAAGGATAATGAAACATACATTTTAAGCTTTTATCACTTCCTCATATTTTAACAATTTTTAATTGGTAGAGCAAGCTGCTGGCCATGTCACCTGCAAAGGCAGTGAATGCTCTAATTATGTACAACTCTATAAGTTATACACTCAGCTTTCATCTACACTATATGTATTGTGTAAAAAATGTTGTTTATGTTTCTTTTCTCCAGGAATGGATTCGTTTGACTTGGCAGTAGAGTATTGGGAAAATGCGCTCGATAGTGCCCCAAACCCTCCTCGGGTACAGTACACACATGAATTCTTGTCACGTTTCCATTCCATCAGCACATAAACACACTTAAGTGCATGTTTTTGTCTTTACATTTGTCTAATTGTATTACAAATTAACCTTGAAAATTTTCCTATTTTAAATTGATAAGTACAACCACAGAAATATATAAGTAACTGTTTTATTTTATATATCTTGGCTTGGCGGGGCTGGAGCATCTTCAGGTTATGAAAACTAACATTATGCAAAAATGTATTAGTCGATATATTATAAGTATATTATATAAATAATTATAATCATTTTAATGTTTTGATTCTGTGTAGAGCGATATTGATGCCACTCTTGTACAGAGGCTTGATGAACTGTTAGTAAAGGCTTACAGCATTCAAGACCAATGCGAAGAGGCTGCCCTCAACATCACTCAGTCACCCTTAGTAAACTCCGATGACCTTGCCAGACAGCTAGGAGAACTCCATCTAGGAAGGAGATCTAGCGACGGAGGCTCGTCAAGTGATTCGTTTGTCTCAGCAACTGAGGTGAGTCAAAAATGGCAGTGCTATTCATTCATTTAAATATTTAGGCTTTATTCATCCTCATACAAAAATATATTCAAGCTGAGGTGTCCATTTTAATATTGGCTGTAATGAAGAACTTAGTCTCACTTAGTACCACTGGGCTAGCTGCCTGTACTAAAAACAGTATTGATGCATTACTGTTAATAATATTATAATTGTATTTGTATGTATAGCTTGAAGATTTAGAGACACTAGAAAACGGTAGGATACGAGGGCACCATCAGTTCTATGAACATGCATTGAAAATTGTTAGGAGTGGTGGAGTACAAGTACGTCGGAACAGGTAAGCTGGACTTATATCGTTTTTATTTACAATTATTAATATTACGGTAGATTAATAATTATTATTTATATTCACTGGAATAAAACAACCATACAAAATTTTCAGTATTCAGAAATAGAATAATCTTAGAAAATAGTGACTTGGGCTTAAAATATTTGCACCAGAATATATTATTAATAATTTCTAAATGATAATAATATGTTAGAATTATATAGAGCTTCATGTCAACAAGGCCTCTAAGCGCTTCACATTATTACTCCCGGTCATTAGATCAAGCACATATGCAACACATACTCAGCTCTTTGGGGAGAATTCCATAATGTTGCAGCTGTAATCAGCGCATTTTGTGTTTGAACCTACCAGGTACTCCTGGGTGGAGTGAGACAACCATAGGTAAAGAAATATACAGCAAAGGATAATTCTTTTATATCTAATAGGAAGTACATCCACAAATTATTGAATAAATGTTATGCTCTATGAACCAAGTATCTTAACATTAATATTTTAATTGTGTTTGTACCTACAGAACCAAGATGTTGAAATGCAAGAGTGAAGAGGACTTCTTAGCAAAAGTGCACTGCCTCAGGGAAGCAATGGCTCTGCTGCTGTCAGATGTGACTGTCCTCAATTGGATTGTCAGCTCAGGCAAAAAGTTGGTAGCCAACCTTCTTATTCAAGGCAATTATGTAAGTGTATTTTGAATGGTTAATTTAAATGGTTTAAATAAATTAAATTTAAGAAATACAATGATAATATTAGTAGTAGCTGTGCTACGACCGGAGTATGCAAGAGCAGTTTACTCAGCATGCTTTTTTGTGTAATGTGTGTGCATGTTTTTTTTTTATCGAGAATACTGCCTCACAAGACAGTGAGCAAAGTATCTGTTGAAGTATTTTGTGTTGTGAGGCAGGATGCTTGTTGTGTCACTGGCATTGAGCAAACAGCTTACTCGCTGTCGATTAAACTACTCGATTGTTCAATAATAAACACTCATTTAAAAAGATCACCCTGGCTAGAGGCAGGCAGTAGCTAGTATGGGACTATCAACAACAACATACTGTAGGTAATAAATTTTCTCATCCTATGTAGTTAAGGGTGCTCTCGAGCAACTGTCACATGAAAGTGCTTGCTGAGCAAATTAGTTGATGTGTGCTGGGTTTTAGTCTAAAAATGAAAAACAAAAAAAAAAACAAAAAGAAAAACAAAACAGAAAGTTGGTACTCAGCAACACATTTTAATTTAATTTGTTGAAATCAATTGAAATCAAAATGCTTAAATTTGTAACTTTTTTGTTAGGATACAGAGCAATTTTCAGAAACATTTGATGAGATGATGGAGTACGTACAACAAGCAGACAACTGGAAAGAGATAAGAGAAGAGTTAGAGGGTCGCAATGTAAGGTTCTTATTGGTCATCATTGTAAAAAGATTTTTTTTAAATAAAAGATTTGAATTTATAATGATGTTTCCATAAAATTTTATGATCATAAACAGTAAATACAGTATTAACAAATTTGATGATTTGGATTTAATATTTTATAATAGTGGAATAAATTTATTGGAAAGTTTTATAGAATTTGTAGTTTGTAATACTAATCTTTTTGAGTTTTGTACCAACCTTTTTATCTCTTTCAAAAAATATTTGTTATTCAGGTGAAATGTATGTCTTTCTATGACATTGTTTTGGATTTCTTTATACTGGATTCCTTTGATGACCTGTCTGACCCTCCATCTTCAGTAACGTGTATTACTCGGAATCGTTGGCTTTCAAATACCGTGAAGGAAACAGTAAGTATCATAATTTAATTTATAATCTATTGATAGAAGTAATGATGAATGTATAGCATTCTATAGAATCCATTATATACCGGTACCTCATACATAGATTCTACGCATCTGATTGGTTAAGAAGCGGGCTATAGAAAGTACTATTCCCCTAGAAAAATACTAGTCCCCTGAAAAATAGTATTTTCTTGACTTAGGCCTCACCATTGCGCTGACGGTAGAGGGGACTGCAACCTCTACAAAGAATAAGATTGGCCCTTGACCGCGCCATGGATCAGCAAGTTGATGATAAACTATAATTATGGAAGCTGTCGGTTCGAGCTCCTGGATGAAAAGGACTAGGCCTAAATTAGGTCTATACTTCTTGACGAAGCCGATAGCAAAAGCACCAAAAGACAAATTAAATATGTCTTGTCAATAGTCAACAAATATTGCAGTATGATTGGTTAAAATTGAGGAAATGAGCATACAAGAGTGAGACACACTCTTTGATCGCCTAGATAGACCTAGCTAGCTAGGCCTAGGCCCTAGTTAGTGTAGACCTCTAGGCTAGGCTAGGAAGTAAGTACTTTTTTAGGCTTTGTAGAATCTATGTATGAAGTAAATAAAACAAATATTGACTGCTCTTAGATTCTGGGAACAGTGAAATCTATTGCCTCTCAATGATGTGAAGACTGTAGCAGCAGGCTGTTATTTGACAAGAACACTTTAGTAAAATTACCCATGCCCTACGTAAGCTTAACCTATCAAATCATGACAACTAACAAGAAGCAGCAGGCTGTTATCCCAGAGTGTGTGTAATTGAAAATCATTTAAAGTTCAATTTTGGACTTGTCTACATTCAAATGTGTGCTATGGTCATGCATTTCAATGGCCGTTTTTGCATGGTAAAGTAAGGGTCTTAGTAAAGGAGTGGTGTTAAACAGCTTAGTGGTTAACTTGCGTGCCTTCTAAACCCAGGGTTCAATTCCCATAACAGCAGAACTTTTTCTCAACTAAAAACAACTCCACACCCTAAGTCTTATAATGAGACTTCTCTGATAAAAGCATCACATTATTTCATTTATTTAAGAGGGCCCCTGAATATCAGCCAACCTTCTAGGATAAGCTGGAGAGGTCACTCTCTATAAATATGGTTAAAAAAAAGGTTTGTGTGTTTGCCTTCTTACATGAGTCTTTAAATGAAGAAATTGAGAGAAGGCAGCCAGATATGGAATAATAAAAATCATAATTTTTTTGATTGCAGGCATTATCCACAGCTATCTGGTCCGTTTTAAGTGCAAAACGCAAGATGTTAAGGAACCAAAATGGCTTTCTTTCTCGATTTTATACACTGTCTAATCACATCAGTCCGGCGTTGGCGTGGGGTTTCTTGGGGTCAGATGAAAACTTAACAGAGGTCATGGAGTTTTTCAAGGTGAGATTGAATTTGTAGTTCATCAGTAAGCAATGCGGGTCTTGATCAAAAGTGTTATGCAACAATGTATTTTGGATGGTTGTACAAATATATTTGGGATGTTGTTAAATATGATTATGATGTTATTTACAATTCTTAATTTTGATTCCTTCTGCCTTTTTTCAACAGGACCAAATTTCCAAGTTTTGTTGCGACATCTTCTCGCTGGAGAAATGTCGCTTTTCATCCGTCCATGAACTGAGTGATGATATCTTGAGTTGGTTCAAGGCATACAACATTGTTGTCTCTGAAAGACTGGATACCACATAAGACACAAAGGCATTTAAGTACTGTGTTCTAATCAGAGTTAGCAGGGCTTGAACAAAACCCATCGTTAATCATCAGTATTAGATTCTGGTCAGAGTTTTTAGGGCTGGTCAACTACATTGGATTCTGCTCAGAGGTAGCAATCTCTGAACAAATAATATGGTCATTCATGTACATAGAATCTGAGAAAATCACAAATTGAAAGTTATATTTTTTACAGAAGGTGGGTTATACAATATATAGTCAGTGTATTTTTCAGGTTGTGTAACAGTTTTGTAGAAGACCAGCAGGCAAGGACCATTTGTATAAGGCCAGATAGCTAAGCACAATGATAGACAAAAGAATCACTGAGCTATTGCAAATAGTAACCTGACTCAAACTCTTGCCAAACAGCTGCAGATAGCCAGTTCATGCCAAACAGTAAAGGATAATTAGTACGAATCCAATGAATGAGAACAATAACAACTTGGGCAAACAGTAGAAACCTAATATCAGAGGTCAGTCCATACATGCCCGATAGTTGAGTGTAGTCTCAGTGTTCACCGTAGCCCAGTATTTAATCTAAAGACAGTCAGTGCAGACCTACCAGCTATGAACAAACATTAGCTATGATGTCTGAAGTCGAAGACACACTGATGATGCGATATATGCTAATTGTTGGTGGTAATCCTGATGCGACATCATTAAAAACAATCTATTACACATGCCTCGTTGTGTTGAGTTCACGTTGACTGTTGACGTAGTGTGACACAGGCGTATGGTGGTACTAATAATTATATATTTTTTGTTTGGAATCCTCCACGACCACTGTTACACATGATCAGTTTTAAAACAAGAGTAAACTTTGATTGGTTATCAGCTATTGACTGTTCTGATCTACAGGCCTTGTAATGTCAGCATGTATGTCATTGTAAAACCTGTTGTCCACCATCATAATTTTGAATTTAATTAAAAGCCTGATAGCCAGTTTTTAATGCTGGATTTTATTTGCACCAGTTGACCACATCCTAACCTTTAAATTTCAACCATTTTAATTGTATCAAATTTAACATTGTAGCTATCATTTTACTACTTAAATCATGTTCATTGGTGCTTAGTGTTGGAATCGGATGCAATTGCTTTTGGTATAAATATGGTGGTACCAAATGTATTGTGCAAGAAATGATAACAGCAGTGACATAAAATATTTACTTATATATTTATTTGCACAATATTTAGGAATTTTTTTATGCACATTAAAAATTATGGCTGGTTTGAAGTTGCTCCCTCAGGAGTACACATGTAGTTACAACATGTTGTTTATGATACATTATCATTTTTAATATTCATATTGGCATAGGATCATAATGGTTTCAGTGTGTGTCATGAGAGCATTTTTAATGGTATTTTGTTTTTTAATCAAATTAATGGTTATGAATCGGACCACATACTAACTCTTGTTTTTTGCTTGCAATATTTTGAGATTTCTTTCAAAAAGCTGTTTGATTTAGCTGTATAACCATGGAGGAATAAATTTAGAAACTTGGCTAAAATATTTCAGCAAAATGCTTTAGGAATTACATGGGTAGTGTCTTTAGAATGATATAATTCAAGGTAGAACCAGCTCAAGAATTTCCCCTAAAAAGCAGGAATTAGGGGTGGGGAAGAGGGAAATGTATATATTTATATTATAAGCACTGGAAAAAATTACAAAATTGCAACAAACTACTCTATACATACAGTCACATTCAGTGGAATTCTGTATTAAAACTTCGCAGTTTAGAATTGTGCAATGTAGCGGAATATTAAATTAGTTGATAATTGTATCATCATAGCCTAAGCCTATGCAACTACTGTATTGATCATAATATGAATACAGTATATGTATATGAAGTTGATAGCTAATATTCTTACCATTTAGCTGTTAGCAACTTTGCTAATTGGGGGTTGGATAAGAACTGGTCACAATAATACAGGGGTGGGGAGGGGGTGTTGTTTAAGTTGATCTTTTGAAACTAGGGAGCTCCAGCTCAGTTTTATTCGTAAATAAAATGTTTAACTGTCAAATATATTTTAATTATTGTAAAATGAACACCATTATTAAGGTAAACCAACTTACCATGTAAAACTTACATTTTAGTTGTCTTTCTTATGTGTTGTATCAGGACCAATATTGTTAATCTAAGCAATAATGTAAATCAAAATTAAAATATCTTTTTGGCTTAAGGATGTACATTTAAAATGGAATGAATAAATACTAAACATTGTACGAGAATTTAAATGAAGTTCAAAATATGTGTACAAGTTATGTAAACAATATGGAAGGGATAGGGATTTGCTGCTGTCAGATCCAGCAATTCCAAATAGATGTGGCCCATAGAAGCACTTTGCTAATGGAGGGTCGATACCACCTCACCCTCACCATGTTTGGGGCTGAGGTATGACATTGTGTGGATATGGCACCTCTAGATGGCCGGAAACGGCACACATTCTTTTTTTAAATTTCAAGGGTTTAGGGACTGACTCTGTCCTCCCTGTATTCGTACACCCCTGTCATCGCATGCCACTTTAGGTTGTTGACTAATGCAGATCCATTTATTGTTAACAGTTTAAAATATGATGTGGTATCAAGGAAGTTGGACAACCCACCATCTTCTGAAAACTAAAAAATACTACATGCATGGCAGCCTGTACAGTAGTTAAAAAATCATCATTGCGATGAACTAGAAGAATGAAAGCACAACATTGTTATATAAAATCAATGGCTTTATTTTTCCATTAAAAAGTTAAAAACTATGCCATTGGTTACATGATGTAAAGTTTTAGTTAAGAAAAATACGTTGACCCTTACAAATAGTGCATTTGTGTACTACAAGAAATATGTTCAAATATTGCCAACTTCTACCATATAGTGTAACCTATTATTCTATCACAAACATTGTTAACCTTTTGGTGAATTAATATCCTTGTAACCCTCCATAATGTCAATGTAATTCTCCCTTCGCATTCATAATATTACCTTAATATCTTAAAATAAAAATTAGCAAAACTGGTGAGCACTATTTGAAGTTCATTCTCAAACTATAAAAATAATGTGAACAAGTTATTTGCCCACTCTTTAGCTTTAGCTAATTATTACTTTAAAATTTATACTAATCATTTTATAATATATTTTTTAGCACAGACAGAAACCACACAATACTAATTTTAAGAGGATTAAAACCTCCTGAAATTGACAAAAAGCATGACTAAATATTTACTATTAAGTACAAAATACAACAAATATAAAAGAATATGATCCCTTCCTGAAACATCTATGTACAAAACAAGAAAGAGCAACAAAAACATGTTTTCCGTCTTTGTTTTAGAGAACAAGGCTGATTGATCATACTGTGTAACATATTTGGTCGTAATATTTGCCCAGTACATGCATTGCTGAACTTTATATAGAATACTATTCAAGATTACATTGATCATGTTTTACATTTAAAAAATCCAAATTAATTTGCATGATTTAGTGGGTTGCGAAAATGATAAAAAGAAAAAAAGGATAAAAGACAAGAAACATGTTTATATTTGAAAATTTGAGACTAACAAATTTGCACCTAGTTATGATGATGATGAAATACTATAAATAAATATTTAAAAAACGGAGCTGTGAGCTTTTTGAAGAAAATCACAAAAAGCATATTTTACTTGGAGATGAATATTAAGTTTAGTAAATTTATTTTTTTCCTGCATTTACGTGGGGAACAATACTGAACAGTTGATTAATGAAAAACTTATTAATATAAACAAATTCAGTACACATAATTTGTGTAACAATTAGTAACAGAGTCTTAAAATTGAAATTTGTCAAAAATCGCACCTGCCAAATTAAATCAATTATTTACAACAATTAAATTATTGATCAATCAACTGAAACACAGTAAACTTGTAACATGTTCTAAAGCATTAATTCATGATAATTAAAAAAATAATAATTTTAATGTCTATTTCTGATTTGAAGACAATTTATATACAAAAAGCCCCACAAATTTCATTAAAAATATGTTAACATTATTTTTGATATGCAACTTTTAAATATAATAGTATCTAATAGCCCTGAAAGCACACAAAAAATTATAAAAATCTGGCAAAAACAACTCAAAAATAGTGAAACATGATGACCCCAAGTGCCAACTAACATTTGGTGACCCAGCACTATTCTTAGCGTACATCTGAAGATAAAGGGGTGAAGAGAATGACTTTGTTACCCTCAGGGTCACTAACTTGCCAATGATCATCAGTCACTTTCCTGGCCCCAGGAACACAGCTGCTTGCATTTCTAACATTGAAGTACAGTATCAGATTGGGATTTGGACTTGGGCTAACCCCGGGGTAGGCTGCTAACGTGAACTCTGATCGTTGAGACAGCGTGAACGTGCAATAGCGGATCTCCTCATGGTTTACTTCACGTTTGAAAGGAGTAACCGCAGTTAGCTTTGTATAAAACTCCTCCATTAATGAGAACTTCTTGAAGTTGTTTACAAAGAGAGAGATACGAACGCCTGAAATGGGCATTGCGGTTTTTACCCCGATGATTGGGAAATCCCTTGCCGTGTTTACAAAGTACTTTGTCTCGTATTCAACTGCATTCCGAACTTCGTCAGACAAAAGAAACTGGTCCCACGGCCTTGTGGACAATGCCTCTATTGTTTTGATAGCTAGTGACTGTGTCTGTCCGGTGAACAGCATGCTGACAGCAACTGGCGGACAAGAATACTGTTGGCTTGCTGTTTTGGGAGATTCTGTTTCACAGACAGACAAATGAGTAAAAGCACCAGAGAAGTTTGTTACGACGGATGTGATCTCCTGTTGGAGTTTGCTGCCCTCTTCAGCTTCTGCTTGCACTTCAACGAAACATTTTGGAGGGTTGGTTAAAACAGCAGCTGAAAGACACAAGATCTAACATTAGATGGTGATAAAAATGTCCATCATAAAAAATAGAAATCTAAAGCTAAAATTCCATATAATGTTGAATGTACAATTTGGACAATATTCTGGGCATCTAGAGGTAAAAATGTCTGATGGTTGGGCTGTGAGGTTGATTTCAACATTGTACGAGGTGCTGATGCTCCATATCGTGATATGATTTTTTAGTGTACAGAGTATCCATCTAACTGGTCGGCAAACAGTAGGAGGGATGCCATTAAATATCTAAAATTTTTATGGGACTCTGTCATTTATATTCACTAATTTTAAAGCCCAGGTTTTCATAGTTTATTATTGCTGGTGTTCGTTGTGTTAGTGATTGTTTTACACAACATACTGTAGTGCAACTCCTTACGTTCTATCTTTACTATCCTGAAACCTTCGCAGTTGTCCAACTTGCCCTCCATAAACAAGTTCCCCAGCAAATCATAATCCTCCGACTTGGGAAAGTACAGCAAGATGTGATGAATACTCCATCTGATAATAAATAATAATAATAATAAATAATTACAATAAATAATAATAATAATGATAAATAACAATAATACTGTACACATATTTACAATCTGAGAGAAAAATATCAAGATTTCTATTATTTGAGGAAAATGGAGATCCATAATAAATAACAAAACTAACAAATCATAACACAAACAATTCAAAATATGAGTTTGCCCAGGACAGTGATGACATTTAATAAAACTACAATAAAATGATTCAATATTTTGACATTAATTATGTCATCATCACAATGGCATGCATTTCGATACTTGGAGTATGTATTATACTATCTTATTTGAGAACAATAAAATGAGGTGATGAACATATCATATTTATCTTTTTTTACATAAACATACCTCATTAACTTGCACCTTTTGGTCTTTAACAAATTCTCTATGTACTTTGATACTGCTGTTGCTAGGCCCTCATCAAGAGGTAGTTGCTCAACTGTTAAAAATGCAAGCTCTCCAATACCTTCACTGATGGGGGACACATGCTTGCCCCAGTTCTTATGTACCTATAAAATTGAAACAAATAGATATACATTTTACTGTGTTCAGTCCTAAATAATAATAATGATGATGATAATGATGATGATAAAAATAATAATTAATAAAAAATAATAATAATACTTATATATAGCGCAAGATGCAGGAGCTTTAATGCACTTAACATTAGTATGAATATGATTCATGATTAGAAAGTATCTTTTTTGCAGCCTAGTAATATAGGCCTACCTAGATGTCTGCAGATAGTAAGCTCACGCACCGGACTAGCTAGTAGGCTAGCCACGTGGCCTAGGCCTTGTTAGGCTAGAGGGTCTAAGCAAAGCACTTTACCCTTCTGTCGTCTGAATCAGTCTGAGGCCTAGACCTAGCTCACGCTAAGTAGATGTGTCGTACCATCTTATTATTGAAGAATACAAAACATTGAGATACAGAGATACAATGGTGGATACTTCGAGCATACACACAATGCGTTTAATCAAGTCACAAAATGCTTATAGTTTTCCATCTCAACTACGCACAGTTTACTTCGCTCCGCTAGGCCAGGGGCGGAGTACAATGCTAGCAGGTGGCCTTGAGGCACGACACGGCAATATGTGGTTATTGAAGCATAGTCATATTCTTGGACTAGGCTAGGCCTAGACTAAACTTACCAGCTTATATTTCGCAGGGCGTTCACTAAGCCTCTGGTAACCACTATTGTCAACTGCTACTGGTGAAAATATGCGATTTAAGAAGTACTTTTTTGGAATGTCTACATCACGTTTTAATAAAATTGTAGCGCGGGAGATATCAGGTTCATCTTCAGTCAGAAAATAACCATCACAATCTTCAGTTAGCAAAGAAGCCATTTTTCGCGGTAGAGCTTGCTAGCTTAAGCTTTGACCTCGTTTAACGGAAGTGAAACCTTCATTTTAGATAGATATTCATAACCATTGCGTGTTGGTCATGGTGTTGGTACACTGTATACGTCAATGAAGACGTACCTCTATTTAGAATAAATCGATAAATAAACTAGAATAAAACAATAACATCTATAAAGATTTTTTTTTTATTTCAGTAGCTAATTTTTATATTTATTAATGTAAATATTAAATATACAGTATATGGAAATATATATGCTTGCGGTACACCACGTAGATAGTTCTAAAAAAAGAAGTTGTTGGTTGAGAATAATAATAATATACATCGATGTTTCGATTGAGTTGCTTCAATCGTCTTCAGGAGAATCTGTAGAAATTCCAAAACTGTGAAATACTTGCAGTTTTTTGGTTGGTGAGACTTGCTGGTGATTGGTTGAAAATTAAACAATAGCTGAGACTATGTGAAAAGGTTAATACAAAAGCCAAAACTTTCACAGGCTGTGCAAAAAAAAGAGTGGGGCGTGGCTAGCTAGAAAGCCAATAAATAGGCTAAAAACCGTAGCATAAAAGCATGGTCAATGGTCAAATTAAAGTAAACTGAACGTAAATATAAAACTTATTATTTTCTAAACACATATTTGTAAAACTCTACTGTAACTCTAATCTTTAAAATAAAGAAAAACGAGACAGGGATACATAGATACTACGGTAGTACCATATTATTCCAAGAACGCCCTGGCGTTTATTGCAGTGGCCGTGGCGTATCTCGGGAGTGCGCGATGGGGGGAAGTTCGGGCGAACTCCCCCACCATAAAAATACTTTCACCCCCAGTCGAGCACCCCAAATCACGCTACTGAGTAGTTAAAATCTTCACCTAACCAAAGAGCCACACCCCACTTCACTTTCGCTCCCGTCACCTCATTTCAAGACTTCAGTGTAGTAGCCACTGGTGGGAAGGCGTTTTCGAGGGAGGTGTGTTTATTTGATTTGGTCATTCAAATTGGATACGTATATATTCATATATACTCAAATAAACGCCCCTTAATAAATATAAATACGTGGAACTACAACACACATCAAAATGTTTTAATGCGTCCCAACCAAGTTGTTAGAAAAACAGTGTAATTCTGCTGCTGGAATGTGTTGAGAATACTTCAATACTGTACGGGAAGTAAACTGTGTGTTGAGAATAATTTTTCTTCCATTAGTTTTCTTTCCATGCATTTGGTGGGGGTCGATTTGATGAAAAAAAAAAAACAGTAAACGCCCCGTTTTACTTAATCGCAAGTGTATATACTATTGCCTGTTTTAAGTGCCGCCAAGAGGGGAAACTGTAAAACATGGGAAATTGCAACGTTCCGGTTGATGTGGGCCCCCAGTTGCGAGCGCTTTTTTTGCGGGGGGGGGGGGTCTGTCAATCTAGAGGGGCCCATTATAAGGGGACACATCGCCATTATTGAGGGCCCATGATAGTAATTATTATTTTTGACAAAAATATCGCAAAAAAAAAAAAAAAAGATGCTACCTGCAGTTTCTATGGGCTGGTAAGCTTGTGTCCCCTCTCGGTAAAACTGATTTTAACTCAAAAAACCCCCCCAAAATCCCGTGCCACACAATGGTATAGGCTAAGGCTATATTGTAAATGTAAAGTATTCGGTGTGCAGTTAATCAATTTTTAAGCACTAACGGCGTTCCATAATGGAGAGGAGCGTAAAGTGGGTGTGACGTAACAAACTCAGTTTTTACAGCACCTCGTCATCATCACGCTTCAGACCAATTCAGACCACCAGCAGAGTGCCCGTGGTAGGTGCTATACCTGGGCTGGGCTTGGCATACTTTAATGTTATTTAGGCCTAAGTTTTAATCGCTATGATATTGCATTTATTTACTGTTGTGCCTAGCCTAGGCCTCAGTTAGAATAAATACGGCCTAGCCTAGGCCTAGGTAGAAGGGCTAGGCCTAGGCCGACCGGCTATGCCTAGGCCTAGCCTGAGCCGGTCCTAGGCCTAGGCCTTCCTAAAGCCAAAAAGGCTAAACTAGGCTAGGCCTGCCTACCAAATGGAGGTAGGCCCCTAGGCCTATGCCTAGTATTTTGCAGATAGCAAAAAACAATAAAAGAATGCGGAGCAGACGTGATGTGTTTTTTAGTTTATAAAAAATTAACAAAGTTTCTTGCAAGTTGCGGTGGGTGTCTAATAGGGGGGTGGGGGGAGTGAGGGGAAGGTAAAATTGTAGGGGGAGGGGAAATATTTTTTCCCATAACACACTGGAGTTACATTTGAATTTAGTTCACACCAGGTTCCACTGTGCATTTTTACTTCCATCCGTTTTTGAACATTGTATGGTGCCTAGGAAAAGAAGTCTTTTTCGGAAGATGAAATTTATAAATGACATCCATTGCACGGCGCCTAGGATACGACATGACTTCAATCTAATACAATCTCTAGATTGGTTAAAAAGATGCTGCACTGTTCATTTATAAAATATCAAATGACAAGAATCTTCATTCAGAAAAAAGGGAGTTTTTTTCATAAAAAATCAAATACTGTAACAAGAATGTATTTAAATTTTTTATGTGTCGTGTTATATTATAAAACAAATAATGAATGTTTTTTTATTCGCGTAATGGAAACAATATTTTCATTCGTTAAAAGATCGACTGTTCCATTCCACTCAGCTCCAACTCGTTGAATGGAACATTCAATCTTTCAACGAATGAAAATATTTGCCCATTCCGCTCATCAGCATTCATTATTTGTATAACAGATGCTTAGAAGATCTGTGGCTTTCATCAACAACTGCAAGTATAATACTGGGCTATTTGCATATGTACCCTGTTTTGACAGCAAATATATTGAAGGGAAATATCCACTAGAAGTTAATTCAAGTCATCAACAATATGTAGGTATTGGTTTGATAATTACTGTCACCATAATAAAATTGTATACTATTACTATTTAATGCCATCAACCAAAAGCAAAAGTACCACAAATAAATAAGAAAAAATGAAAGAAAGAAAATATGAAAGTATACTGTATGCAGGTTCTTCATTACCTTGTACCATCTCAGTGAGTGACTGTAATTTACCACACTGAATTCTAATTCGCACAATGGATTCATAATACATAAGTGTGCTGTGTCTTCTTGCATGGATGTAAGCTGGAGGGGTGTGGACCCCCACCCAATGGATTAAGTTTCAACTAAGT